TGTGGGGGGTGGGCCCCCTCTCAAAATCTCTTCCGGCTAGTGCCCCCCCCCCCCCCATTGGTATCCGGCTGGCTGCATGCTGCCACCCCCCCCATCCAGTATGCTGTGGTGCTTTTTTATTTAGGTAGGTGTGCCATGGGGCAAAAAAGGATGGGAAACACTGACCTAGTGATTAGAAATAGTGGGAAATGGAAGGCCAAGACTCAATTCGTTCACTGCCTGAGGGAATTTAAATCCATATTTGCCACCTCCCTAGAGCTAGTGGGTCTAACTACTAGCCTACAGAATAAGTTCCTTGGGCTCTTTCAGATCCAGTGAATCTTGGATTCTTTTCTGCACAATGGAAAAGTTTACACAGGAGGAGGTGAGTGTGCCCCTGCTCCCTTAACCAGTAGCCTTGGGGTCTAGGCCTCTGAGAATAACTTCATGATCAAGACTTTCAGGTGACTTGAGCAAAGGAAATCTTAGTTTATGAACCCTTCATGGGCTTAGGCAAAGAGATAGGCACAAGGCTGCTCAGTCTCTTGCAGACTGATGTATTTCCAGGTGTGCATAGAGACACGCAGCTAAGTACCCTTGAAGGGAACTTGAGAGTCAAACCATGAGGTATCAGGGAAGTTCAGATGTCCCCCAGTTTAGGAAGCAACTAAACAGGATTTTTCAGGATCATCATTTTGCACTTAAGATGTTTGTGCGCCACAGTATGCACCCACATCATTTCTTGGATTTAACTCTAGAATAACAATACCTTCCTAGAGAAGGCACCAAGTCTGAAATGTTCAAAGCTGTGTATGGGGTGTGGATTTTACATTTCCATTAACTCAACTGCAAGAGGAAAAAAAATAAGTGGTAGTTTGTTCTTCAAGCCTGATGGACTTGCCAACCAAAATTATTTCTCAACTATTGATTGGGGGTGGAAAAAATATTTTCCCACATGCTTTAGTACCACAGACAGCAGTACTAGAGCAGTTCACAGTTTTATCACCTTCAGTGATGCTCCCACTACTATATTTCAAACTGAAAGGGTGTGTTTTTTGTTTGTTTGTTTGTTTTGTTTTGTTTTTTTTTACATGTGCAGCTTAGAAATGGATACCGACAAAGAAGTTCAGCCCAAAGGAGTCTTTGAGTGCCAGTTATGTGGATTAACAGCTCCATACAGTTATTATGGGCAGAAACCTCCCAACACACGCTCTATTGTGTAAGTATGGTTTGTTTTTTTATAACAGATCTCATTACCATGGGATCTCATACTCTAGACTGGTGTAGCACTACACAAAATCAACCAAGAAGTCCAATCAAATCATGCCTAACCTGGAACATGGGTTAAAGGTACATGGTTCAAAGCTTCACTCTCTCACACACAAACAAAAACATGCTGTCTCCTCCTTTTAAGATTAAAAAGAAAAAAGTTTCAATATCACCATGGTCTTTAAATCTCTGAGTTTACATCAAGTGCATGAAATAGTAATCCTGTCCTGCAGGGTGCTGTATGCAAATCAACACCATTACATTTCAGCAGGGTTCTGCCCAGAACTAGTCAGAGGAACAGTGCCTTGAGCTCTCTCACACAAGTTGCCAAGTACCTAATGAAAGATACCCAACTCAGTAGCCCTGAGGCAACAGTTGCACAACTCAGAATATTTTAGATCATGTTATTGTTACATGCTGACAACTCTCGCCTATGAAAGGCTGAACCCTAAGTTCACAGGAGTGACAACTAGAAGTAGTAAAGGCCTTTTTCAAAAGAAAATGCATATATTTTTTAAAATGGCTCTTCACTAAGGATAGGAATTTGCAACGGTAAATAGATAGGGTGTTTACGTTGGCCTAGAGAAGTATCCCTGTAAAACGCAGGATACATTTAAAGGTGGAGCACTGAGAACACCCATACGGCACTAATCCAGTGGTTATCAATGTTTTTAGACTCAAATCACCCCTCAGTCAACACCAGCTTTTATTTTTCTGTAGTTGAAAAATGCGTGAAAGCAGTTCTTTTGTTGCAAAGAACTCAAAGACCACAACTGGTAGTCAGACTTTTTGACACTGTGGATTCCTATTTGAAATCTCTGAGTTTATCTTGTGAATCATGTGTAGGGGTTTGCACACACAACAGTGCTAATACTGTGCAGTACCCCATGGCATGCTTACAAGGATCTCACAGCACTCCAGTGTGCTACATCACCCTTGTTGAGAATCACCCTGCATTAATGAAATGGTTATTAGCAGATTTTCCTTTGCAAAGTGGTACATTTTTTAAATGGGAGCTGATTCTTTCCTAGCCTCCTGGAAGAAAGCTATGTCATGAAAGATCCTTTCACCCCCGACAAGGACAAATTCCTTATCCTCGGATCACAGTGCAGTTTGTGTACCAGGCGGGTGTGTGTTGGCACAGTAAGTAACATGTGATCCATGGTGCATTTTATAGCTTGCTTTTGTTCCAGACTCAGTGACCTCTTGGGGAAAAGATCAAACAGTGACAGCAGTGTACCAACCAGCTCTCTCTGCTACCAGTTCCCGTAAAACGTGGTTTCTCATGTTATTGAAGTGTCGTTAAAGTTGCTGCATAAGGTCATATCTTTTTCCAGATTTTCAGAACAACATGAAACAATTTCTCCTTCATCTTCACTGCCCTGCCAGTGTAGAAGGGCTATTAAAGCACCACAGTTTGCCAGTACAGGTATGACACAGGCCTCCAGAAAGCCATACTACCTCCATGTCCCCTGGCAAATCCTTGCATAAAAGATGTGTAGGGGAAGGGCGAGGTGGGATAAATCTCCAGCACCAAATAGTGTTCAAGGAAGCCAGAAGCCATTTCAGTCCCTAAAGCAGCCCAGAGTCTAGAAGGCACAAGGGGTAGTTTAAACATTACATTTGCCTATTCCCCTCAAGTGGCACTTCCTGGAAGCCCAGCACAAATCTGCAGAGCGTTGAAAGCTGAGTGCAGATAAGTTGAAACAACTTTTTAGGGCAGTGGAACAGTTCAAATCTTACTTGAGAACAGTGCAAGAAAATTTAAATCAAAGCCTTTCCTTCAGCAAGGGTCATTGTGAACACTCTTGAATGACTAGAGACAAAAGATGGACAATAATCCAAAAACGTTAGAAATGACAAAGCATGACCCCATTGGTCCAGTAGCAACAGAAAGATAGCATTCTTGATTAAGAACACTTGCATTTCCTACTTAAGGGAGGGGTATTTAAGTATTAAGGCTTCTGGGACCCAGCTGATGACTTCACAATATGTAGCTTTGGCAGTTTCCAAAGTTCTTTCGGCCCATCTCTGCTTATAGTAGTTTGGGGCTATATCCAGCTTCATCAGAGTGGTCATTAGTGAGTAAAGGAACGGCTCAGGTAGTGAACAGCAGCACTGATTAAAAAAAATATTTCACTACTGCTGAAGCTGTAGTATTTTTGTTCCCCAATTTGATGGCTTTTTGTACTTATGGCAAAACAAACCACACACTTAATTAGAGGAGAGTGTCAGGGGAATACCAGTCTGATTGCATGGAAACCAGGGTTGAAGAGGCAGAGGGACAAATGCAGGGTTTTTACACATCTGAAGAAGTGAGGACCAAATTTTGCTTTGTACCTCTTTTCAAGATGAATTTGGGCCAAGAATGCTGGTACCAATTCAACTGACTTCAGAAGCAGTCTGGCTCACTGGTTTAATTGTGGGATGGGGAGAAGGGGGAGGGGGGAACCAAGTTGCAACACTTTTTTCCTGATAGTTATTTTCCCTTGTGAAATTCTCTTCCAGTACTTAGATGAATGGAAATTGGAAAATGGTCAAAATATAAATTGCTACTGATAATTGTTTTAGTCCAGCTGTCTGCTGCTCAAATTGTTAGTGTTAAAAAAGAGTAGCAGGCTCTCAAATTCATCCTTAATAATCAGTATACTTTAGCAACTGATTTCCAAAAGACATGCCTGGCATTTTCAATTCCACCAGTTGAACTTGTCCCAGAATTGAAGTTTCAACCAAGCACATTACAGTGAATCTTAATAGGAAGGAGGGGCTCTGCCATTTAAGAGATTAATGCAACTAATTAAATGTTCTGATTCACTGTGGACAAAACAAAGTATAGGGCTGTCAGAATCCATTTCATATCTTTAGCTGTTTATGCACATTTCTTTTGTTTCTAAAGCTATCAAGATTTTCCTGAATAGTACATCTCAAAGCAAAAGAAAAAAAACCCCCAACTCTGAGGTTCTTAATGATGACACTAAACATGCAGCAGTGGGTAGCTAACCTAAAAAGGCAAGTGACAGCTGAGCAAGGGCCTGAGCCTGGAGAACTAATCCCATTGAAGTCTATCGGATCAAGGCTACAAAATATTGGAATACATTTCCTACCAAACTGGCTTGCCCACTTGAGAGCTAGGTGTACGAGTATGGTTATTAAATAGATGTAGCAACACACACTTAGGTAAGATAGGAAGACATCTACAGAAAATGTTAATTAACACTTTAAACACCTGCATCTAGCAGGTAAATATGTATTATTCCTCTTTCACGTAGGGGAAAGTAGGACATTGGTTAAGTGACTTCCTCAAGACCACAGAGGGAGTTAGAGCTAGGATTACAAGTCAAGGGTCTATGGCTCCTTGACTTGTGGTTGTATCAGTGAATCAAGCCAGATCCTCTCTTGATCTGCTTGCATTTATGTTATAACTTGAGCCTCTGAAGCTAACCAGCTATAACTTATCTCATCGGACTATGTAGTGAAGAACCAGATTGCTATAATGGACAACTTTTAGAGGCAGGTTGCTTTTAGTTGCATTACTTTGTACCCACTGTTTTGATTTGGTGGTAGAATCTTTGCCTGCCATGCAGGAGACCTGGGTTTGATTTCTGGATGTGCATATAACTATAGCCATTGAACCACCGAACCTCTGGACTCAGTCTGGCCTTTGGATTCTGTCTGAAGAGGGGATGGAAGGTCTTAGCAGCCTCTACTCCTTCATACTTCTGTCTAGGCATTTGTGTCAAAGGTCCTGGTGACTTCTCGTGCATACACCATGATCTAGAAGGATCGATGGTTGCCTACTACTGTTCTTTGTAATTCTGCTAAAGCAGGGTTCAGTAGCATTTTTGGCTGGAGTGCCAAAAACATCCCAACCCTGACCAGTGCCTCAACTTGCTATGCCAAGGGCAGACTACAGGGGAGCAGTGAGGGGCCCGATCCTTGTTGTTGGCGGCAGCTACACACGTGCCTTCAGGTGGATGGTGGGGGAGGCGCCAGAATCATGCTGTCCCTGTGCCTTCCCCACCCTGTACCCCAAGGTGCATGTGCAGTTGCTGCCAGTATGGAGTCGGTGCCAGGGCTACAGACCCTGGTGCAGCTGTTTGCCGCCTGCCCTGTTTGCAACTGCCCAGAGCCTGGGCCAGCTGGGGGAGACAACCAGGAGGCTGCAAACAGCACTGGGCTCTGAAGCCCCACCCAGGCTCTGTGGCTGCGGCAGGTGCACACCCACCTCTGGGCAGACAGCGGGGAAGGGGCGTAGAGCAGCACAACCCTGGTCCCTCCCCCCACCACAATCTGCCCAATGGCATGTGCAGCCACTGCCACCATGGAACCTGGCCAAGGGCTCTGGAGCTTGGTGCTGCTGTTTGCGGCCTCCTGGCTGCAGCCAACCTGGGCTCTGGGCAGCTGCTGCCAGCCATGGAGCCTGAACTGCTTGCAGCAGGGCTTGAAGCCTGTCAGTGGCCTGCTGGGCACAGCCTGGACTCCATGGCTGGCAATAGAGCCCAGGCCAGCTGTGGTGTGCCAAGCTAAATGGCCTTACGTGCCATGCTCTGGCACGCGTGCCAGGGGTTGCTGACCCCTGCACTAGAGAGACCCAAGAACCATCTTCCCTTAAATTGACCCAGGCCACTGGATGTAATTTGTTACCTTTCATTGTTTGGCCTCTCAGATCTAAGCCCAACATAATCATGAGATACCACTTAAATTTACCAGGCGGTAATGGATTCATTTACAACTGATGTGCAGAAGTGTCATTAGCAAAACACGATGAATGTTCTCAATAGCTGGGCTTCCTTCATAATTGGACTCTTCAGTATATTACCTTCAATTATTTTTCATTTACTGGTATTTCAGTTATTTTCACTCTAGTCAGTTGTTAAGATGCAATTTGCAGCACAAATTACAATGACCTTCCACCACCTTATTTTGGGGAAAGCATTTGCTTGAGTAAACCTTCAGATCTTGTTCCAAGCAAAAATAGTACATTAGGGGAGCTACCCATATCTTAACTACTGCTCCTCCCCCCGTCCCCCACCCACCAATGTACAATGTACAGGCACATCACAGCAAGCGACAACTTCAGATGCTGACCTTTGGCACAACAGTGCAATGCTTGAATAGCTAATGGTATTAAAACACTGACACTTGTAAGGCCTCAGCACTGCAGCTGGGCAACAAGGTCAGCAACACTCAAGGCCTTAAGCTGCCCCAGCTCAGCCTCCTGGATTTCTTCTAGGACTGCTTTTAAGGAGCTCCTGCACAACAAACTGGCTTCAGTCTGGGAGTAGCTATTACCTGTGTGACTTCCTTGGTACTTGTTCCTGCATTCCTGCCCATGTACCCAGTCCCCTGAACTTTAGAACCTGTTTAGACTTTGGCTTGCTTCCTGACATTCACTTCTGGTAAAACACTGGCTCAGCATGTGAATCCTATCTTGACTTTGGCTTACTTCCTCACATCCACTTCTAGTAACCCCTTGGCTTGGTACATGATTCTGGTTTAACTTTGGCTTGCTCCCCATATTATGGATGTTGGTAACACCCCTTAACTCTAACCACCAGGTCTAATGCCTCTGGATCCTGACAATGCTCACCAGGACTAGGATTAAAGATGATCTTCAGTATCCATAGACTGTACATCTTCTAAGGTGTCAAAAGAGTGGATGGAATGTGTAGATAAGGCACTGGTTTGGCATACAGGAAGCATGCCATTCTTAGCTGTGCCACAGCCTACATACGTGACCTTGGGCACTTAGGCCCAGAACCATAAAGGCATTACCTTCCATTTGGGCACCTAATGCCTAATGATTTCATTGGGACCGAGGCACTTAAATAATTTGGTGGATCTGTGCCTTCTCTTTGGGCTTTTGTTTGCTACCTGCAAAGTGGGGATAATTTTTCCACTCTTGTCTCCTTACTTCACAGGCTCTCTGGAATGTTGCTTTCTCCTATTATTGTGTCTGTCCTAGGCCAAGCATGATATAGTCGCACCTGCTTGGGGGACAGTGCATTGCAAACAGCAATACCACAGCAGCTTAAACTCACATGTCCACTTTTTCATTGGCAATTTAAGCAACAAAGGTTTCCCACAGGGCAAAAGCAGCAGGTAGACTAGTTAGATCATATCATAGAAATATAACAGGTTTTTTAAATGGGGCTTTCTAAGGCGTCTGAACTGATGCCAAATTCTTAACATGCCACACAACCTCTGAATGCATATAGGAAGCAATATGCTCAGCACCAGAAGCAAGACCAGGCAACAACTTTCTGTTCACTAGCCTGAAAAGTTACAGAGAAGTAGATTTATCAGTTTAGTAAAACCATGGAGTTAACCTGGCACTGAAATGCATGAAGTGATATTTGGAGCAGAGAATCTGATACATGCAAACCAGTCACCCAAAACAAGGTCAGTCATACAGCCAGCCCTGAAGGAGCACTTTACCGTTTGGGTAACATCCAGGGAGTCTGCTGCCTCCACAAAGATATATTCTCAGCTGTCTGAGCTGATGTCATCACCTGTATTTAAATCCACAGGAATAAGCCACCACTGCCAGCTGCATCTTGGCTGTGAAATCCCATATGGAATCTAGTGGTCTGGAGAACAGCAAAATTATAAGATTTACACCCTCTCAGGGCAAAGAATGTAACTCAGTCAATTTGTCTGCAAAGCTGGCCAACTGGGGCAGTGCACGTTGGATTAAGATATTGCATCTGTTCCCTGACCACTTCCTGTATAACAACCACATTTCTGGGTAAAAAAGGTTGGGCCTACAGCATTGGCTAACCAGGTATCTGAAGCATGCCAGATCCAGGTGCCATTCCCTAATGCCAGATAAGGGAAATGACTGGTCTTGTCTGCAGCAGATTTGAGGCTTTGGAACAAATTAGAGTTGAACTGTTGTAGAGCTATGTGCTGCCCTGAAAGAAGGCTTCCTGTAGCTTCCTTTAGAGTAAGGCATAAGGACTTCAGTTGTCTTTGGCCCTTGCCTGGGGTCATGGAGGGAGAAAGCTCCTTCAGGCTTCATTCCCATTATCCCAACTTTGCCATGGAGCAAAGACCAGGAATACCCCCCCTTCATTATGTTCTTCCTACTCGACTGAAGAGAGGAGGAAGGGACACTCAGTATGATTTAGAAAAAATGAAATGTAGCCAATTCCATTTGGTATACTGTTAATTATTCATATTTTCCTTACAGGAATGTAGTCTATTCTACACAAAAAGGTTCTGCCTCCCCTGCGTTAAGAAAAACCTGGAAGAGTTTCCTTTGGAAATACAAGACGACTTGGATAAAAAGAAGTCCCACTAAAAAATCTTACTTCTCTATGACAGCAGAGGTGTGTCAAACATAAGGTCTGCAGGCCACATCTTGCATGTGGACCTGTCTTATCTGGGATGCAGGACTTCTGGCGAGGCTGGGAATTTTGAGGACAGTGCAACAGGGCATGACTCACAGTCAAATTCCAGGAAGATGGAGCCTAGTTGAGGACTCATGTTAGTGGTGGCCATGGGTCAATAACAGCAGTGTTAACCCCTGTGGCGCTCTGAGCTGAGACAGCAGCTCAGGTACCTGCAGTGGTTAATGCCACTGCTGCTTGCTCTACTGAGATGGGTCAAAACCCAGCCTGTGAGGAGCCCTGTGCTCCAGATCCAGCCCACGGAGCCAAATGAATTTTACACCTTTGCAATAGAGGAATGACTTTCATCAACTTACCACAAGTCAGTCATGAAAGGAAACATCATGAAAATACGTTCAAATTCAGACATTCCTGGGTTTGCAATGAAGGCACCATGACACTGAGCTGGTGCAGGAAAATTAGAAATGGAAACAGGCTGCCCTGTAATCATAATCCAAATGACATGAAGTACAAAAAGTAAACGTCATAAAATATTAAAAAGTACAATTTAAAATTCTGACTTTTTAAATGTTAATCAGTCATGTTGGATACTAATACAGAAGTGTTTTTAATGGGCAGGCAGATTCTCAACTGGTGTAAGCCAACATACTTCTATGGAACTTAGTTTACACTGCCCAAGAATAAATACTATTATCTAATTAGGTAGGTTGTTTCCTACCAAAACTCATACCTCTCTGAACCAGTCTGCCTCTAAGGTTCCACCCTGCTTTACCATCTGTCTACCTGCCAATCTAATCTAAGTTCATCAGCCTGACAGTCTCACTTTAATAAATTTTAGGTAGACAGATGAATCTGATACATCGCACTTTCAAAAGTGAGAACATTCACAGAACACAGAGTTGACACTTTTTAAAACACTTTGGCCTGCAGATGTTTCAAGATTAGTGTCATACATGGACTTCTGCAAGCCAAGCTTTTGTAATGGAACTTAGTGGCTGATACTTTACATGACTGCAGTCACTTTCCACTCAAGCTTCCAGTCACGAGGGTGGTCGTGGAAGGGGCAGTGAACTTTCTTACGTGATGTTTTTCTTTACAAGTGAGAAAGAGCTGGTGCCTTTCATTTCACTGTCAAGTAAGATCAAAATGCAAATAAAGCTCAGCAGGATAGCCAGCAAGAAGTTCCATCAGGTCTGAACTGGGCAACTAAATGACAACCGAAGTAGGAATTCAAATAGAATTAATTTACCATATTTACTCAATTCCAAGACAAGGAGGGAAGGGGAGGGCCCGAGGCTGTGTGGAAGATGGACGCAGCCACAAAGGGTTTAGGTGGTGGTGGAGGGAGAGACAGGAGGGGGCAAATTACCTGCTCCCAACTTGTCCCTTTGCAGTCTCCCCCATCCCCACCCTGTGCTCCCCACCTCCACTGCTTTCCCCACTGCAGTGGTGTTTGGGGCAAATTTAAGATGATCCCCCAATAATTAGATTCTTATACATGGAAAAATTATAACAAATGTATAAAGTTTCCACATATGGAATCTAATTATTGGGGTGGGCCATCCTAAAAATTCAGGCTCATTTTGGATTTGGGTAAATATAGTGAGTCATGGACAGGTTAAGCAATTACTATGGGAAAGAATTACCTGACAAGTGTTTTTTTCATGATCATCTTATTGGCTTTCCTACAGTTGCATGGACTATTTATAAAGTAAAGTATTCACATAAAGTCACTTGGATGCACATCTCTTAAGAAAACATCTAGAATGCTTCATGAAAACACTGTTGGTAGGGGACCTTGCTAATCATGTTTTCTAGGAATATAATGTCTTGGTTAACATCTCCCATGTTCTCAGCTTTTGTAATATACTATGACCTATCAAGTGATAAAAGTGGACTGTTTGGGGTATATTAAAACATTTATTTTTATTAAAAAATGAATGTCTAATCCAGTATTATTTTATGTACATTTGGGCAAAGACAGAGTCATTTAGTTCAACACTTGTTCAGCATCTGGTACAAGAGGCCTGGTCGGTTTGTAGACACCACTTCAACACAACTTAAAGTTACTTCCCTTCTCAAGCTTTGAAGGACAGTACTTCTATGAAAATTGCAGTTAATTTAGCTCACTAAATGAGGCATGGATAAGTATGTGATCTAAGCTAAAAGACTACTATACTTGGTATCCATATCCCTAAGTGTTGTGACAATATCTTAACAACATGCATGGCTGACCCCAGCCAGACGTGAATTTGTAGCTTAGTAGTCAAATTCTGGAACTTATTACTGTTTTTGAACCATTTCTCACAGTGTAAAGACCTACAATAAAACTATGTACTTCCTAATCCCACATTGCTTATAAGAACTGCATGTGTTTCTTAACATAACCAGTCATTATCAAGTAGTGGAATGTAAACAGTAGAAATCTTCGATTGCTACTGTGTAAGTACTAATTTGTAACACTAACATGAGGGTGCCACCCTTTTCTACTGTTGCACCTGTATCATTGACGGAAGATCCTGATGTTTGCTGAAAAAACAAAACAAATAAAAAAAGGAACACCTAATCCAAAGGCTGTTCATTGAGACTACTTACAGGCATAAGGCTCATAGGAATGGACCTTTAGCTGCCCCCCTCCACTCCAGCTCCAACCCTGCAATTCATTCTGTGGGGACAGACATTCCATTTGCAAGGTTAAATCCACTCTTGTCACCTTCTCCTTTAAGAATGTCCTCAAAGTGCATAAGTTACACTATGCAATAAACACCTTAATATATCAGCTGTCCTAGTGCTTTGCACTACCACAGAACATTTGAGTGCCCACAAAAACTTATTTCTGTGTTCAAGCTCACACAAGAAGTGGCATCACTGAGATTACTCACTTAAGTGAAGCTTCCCTGCATTTTCCAAAACAGGAAATATATCAAAAGCTAGGAGAAGGCAGAATCATTAAGGAGAAAGTTATACATTAAATGAGTGTTATTTGTAATGGTACGACAATATTACAAAAGACACTTTTTCCAGGGATACCCATCAGTGGAGGTGGGGAGGATTCGTGACTCAGCTTGGAAATACTAACATAGACCCTGATTGTGCAACCATTTATGTATGTTACATTAGCATGCAAATAAAGAGTAATACACTGTGTTTGCAGGAAGGGGATCCAATTTGCAGTTTTCTGGTAAAATGCAGGATACAGCCTACAAAGGATGGCAAACTTATTTGCTTCAAAAAGGGAACTAGACAGCTGTAAATCACTCGTCATACTGAATTCAGAATTCTCTAGCAATAAATGAAACAGCAGTCAGGCTGCCCTACTCAATAAAAACTCATGGTCCAATTTTTAAAAATACTTTATTTTTTCAACCATTAAGGCAACATCCCCCCCTAAAAATCAGCCATTTTTACATTCAATATTACAGCATGGTTCTTTAAGTACATAGGTTCCTAGAAGCCAGGATACAGTTGCTATCAATCCAACACCTTATTTATGCAATAGGAAAAAAAAAAAAAAATCAGGATGGAAATAAAAATGGGAACAAACACTTGAATTAAGCAGGCCTTTTTATTCTAAAAGAAAAAAAAAAAATCAATAGACAAAACATACTGAATTCATTATTTTGTTTAGAAATATTATTTTTTACTTCAACAAATGCAGAAAAAGATACCTAGACTTTGACCTTGCTATATTACCAGGACTTTCCACTCCTTCTTTTAAAATGCTACTTGTATTGTTTGGATGAAACACACTTGAGAATTTAACCTGAGTTAGTGGTATTTCACAGAAGACAGCCATTTCATGATTGAGTCATCCCTGCTTAGCAATATCTACTCTTAATCAATTTCCATTACACTTTTATATTTTAGTGCAGTAAAAGGCACACAAGGCATGTTTTTAAAATACCAGAGAACTGAAAATCCAGATGTTTGTATGTACTGATGTCTGTTTAATCACATTAGGATTTTAATTCACGGTGGCATCAATGGCCTTTTAAAGGGCATGACAGAATTTCAGTGATATAACACAATGATGCCGCTAACCTGAAGAATTAATGAAAACATTGAAATTTAGAGCTAATAAAAGTCATTAAAATGTTACCATTTTGTTAAATGAGCATTATTACACATCTGACTATTTTGTTGTCATTATGAAGGAAATAAACAAGGCCTAAGCGCACTTTCACTTCTGTAAGCAGAGGGGATAGCTGCCTGTAGACGAGGGATACAGCAAGGTGGCTCTGGCTTTTAAATATGCTCCCCTTACCCACTTACACTTTGTAAATTGTCTCCAGAATGAGAAGGCACAGTGACCCCTTTCCATGGAATTATTTTATCAGTTCCACAGTTTAGTGTTGACAAGTGAAATTAGCTACCCTGTCTAGTAGTTGCTTAAACGGGTCTGCAGCCAGTGTTGGGAGGACATGGTACCATTATCATAACTACCATAAAAACTGTGCTGCTGTATTAAAGGAGGCCATAAAACTGTTTGAAGATAAGGGTAGTTCTGGCTTCCATGTGATAAAAATATAGATATGCTATTTGAATGCATCAGAGGTTATGTGGCTTTGATAAGCACCCTATACAAAGTATATCTGCATATGAATCCAGCAGGTTTTTCTACAGATATCTTCCTAAAAGTCCAGGATGTAAGCTATTTCTCTGGAACTCCTGTGGCATATGCAGTCAGTCATAGCAGTCAGATGAGATAACCAAACCCACATACCATTTTACAGTTAATGCTGAGTCAAGATTCAGCAATGAGTAATTATGGTATACATGCACAAAGGAGACAGAATATAATGTTGTGCTTATGACATACACCTTGGAACAGATCTTTCAGTCCTTTTTTAGGGCATAGCCCAATAATCTTTATTTGTGTTAATAGTCCCTACTTACGTGCATAGTTTCATAAACTAAGGACTGCTCTCATGTTCAAAAATTGGGTCTGCAGTGCTTGCTTAGGCAAAAATGCTACAACTACTATGCATTAAAAAAACCTAATGCTCTTCTCCCTTCTGCCTTTCCTTGTAATTCTGATGGAGCTGACAACTTGATTTAATAAAAGGGAAAAAGCTTAAGACCAAATGGAGTTTCAGAAGCTGAAAATGCCTTAATTATTTAGCAGACTAATGATAGAAAAACAACTTTGTCCTCAGATGATTTCGGCTAACTGGAAAGGTCTCTTTTGTACAATTATAGTATGAAAGGACATATGTGATTTTTCTCTTCACAGGTTTTATTTTACTGCTGCCTCAGACCATTAAAATTCAGTGCAGAAAAATAAACTGTTGTAGATTACCAAAAGAGAATAAAGCATTTACAAATTTGACATTTACTTCATAAGAGAAATTTTATACATTATCTATTAACAAAGAGTACCTGAATGATAACAATTTATCAATCTGCAATTATAAAACTGGTGCAACTTTAAAAAATGACATTTTATGGATTGCAAACAAATGGCAATGAATATAAATCACAGCTAGAACAATTAAAATACCTACTGCATTTGTCCTAGGTGGCAATTTTTTTTGACTACTTCAAAAGAAAATTCATAAACAAGTCATTTGTTAATTGTCTATGGCCCTGATTCTGTAAAATAATTTGTTTTCAGGCTTACCTGCACACATGTAGCTGTATAGCCCAGTATACAGAATTTGGACCTATGTATGGATTCTGTCTTCATCTAGATGAACATGCATAGGAAAATGGAATGTTCCCACACAGAAATGGATGAAGAACTTTCAAGGTATGTATATTTCAATTATTACTAGGTTTGCATTGTCAAGGGGTATTTACACGTGTTGAAATAATAAGAAATCACAGATTAACCTCAGTGCAGGTAGTGACAATATTTTTTACGTAGAAACATTCTGTAGGACATCATTATTCCTATTAACCAGCAGAACATCTTCTCATGAAATTATTAGATAAAATAAGTCTAACATGTAAAGAAACTCTCCCCCTTAGTTCTGTTACCAGTTATCTCACCTAAGTGCAAAGCACTGTGGTACATTACAAAGATGAATATGGTTCTAAGATCTACCCTCTGTATTGGCGAGTTCAAACCTAATAATTAATTCCAAGCATTTTAGAATGATAGCTTTTCCTGTGACACTTATCTAAGAAAAGCAAAAAATAAAGTCTATGGTCTATGTAAAAATACATTTAAAAACTTGGTTACAACCATGACTACATAAACTGATGAGATTCATTTTTTTTAAGAGAATATATGGTAATTAAAGTCCAGTAGGAAATAAATAATAATTCATCTTTAGCTTTAGCCCTTCTGGCCTTTAGCCATACAAGTAAACCTTTGCCAAGAATAAAAATTTGGAGGAGAAGGTCCACAGACAGCGTTCAATTTAAATAATTTACATGGCTCTTTAATGTGTTTCTGTAAGACAGTTTAAAACTTTTTGCTTTGCTATTATATTTTACAAACTGCAGCATGAAGTTTAAACAAGAAA